GAACTGTATGTGCCAAGGAATTCCTGAGACTCATGGACATGAAACCTTAAATTAAATGTAAGAAGAAAAAGTTAAGAACAAATTATAATAGCACTGAGAGCAAGAGATTACAACAGGGTATTTGGTTAAAATGCTCTTTTTGTAAAATATGTTCCTGAAAATTGCAAATGTATTATGTTATGTTTATGAGCCAAATTTTGTTATACAGAGTTACAAAGGTTGCTATGTATTCAGTCTCTGTGGATCCAAATTATGTGAGGTATTCAAAAAAGAAAAGCAGATGGATACTGTCAAAGTGGTCCTCTGCAAAAAAAAAAATAGAAACCTCATCATTCTCCACTTGGGTTGGATAACATTTCTCCCTGGCATGGATACCTCTTCAACTGTACTAGCTGCTAGGGGACAGTGCAAAATTATGTAATTTAGACATACGAGGAAGTAAAATTAAATAGCCATGAGATGAGCATACCATTAAACAGATCTAATTCATAATGGGCTCTTATGCAAATTGCCTTTGAGCACTCAGTAARAGAAAATGGAAAGAAATTAATAAGGACAGCTCAGACTAAAAAGTTGCAGAGAAAAAAAAAAGTAAAAGCCTGTTCCAGCTCACTTTCCACACACTCCAGAGTGTTAAATAAACATTCCCATTGGCCACATAAATACAATGATGCAATAAAACTTGCACTTAACTTGTAAGGACCACAMTCCTAATCACTTTGCCACAATGGCTTCAACCAGGTGAGTAAGATTTCAAATAAAATACCTTTTCTTTGCCATGTTATTTGTTACTGGAGGTAGAGAGGTATGTTTTCATGAGTATTTTGCTCCTTGCCAGCTGCTGAATTTCTGCCCTCAGTGAAATCCAGGCAGTTACTTGCCTTGCCATTAGCATGGGATTACASATTCCAGGGCATCACTGATGCTCCTCCTGCTGCACAGTTCCCTCTGATGGGTTAAGAAAAGGACTTCACACCAGTTTTCCTCCTTTTGTTGTTCTGTGAAAGACGTGGGGACCAGGGAAATCTGACAWCGCAGAGCTGTTGAAAGTAGTTTATTGCAAAAGATTTTCAGTTARTTTTGAGTCTGATAAAGATGTCCTCTGATAAAGATGTTAATATGAGAAATAATATACTGAACATATTCAGTTATAAGAAACCTTTATTTTTCTCAGAGAAGAAAAGGGTTTATTTCTTCCTTAGTTTGAAAGTGATGTAATATTCTGCATGTTTGAAAACATCAAGGCTTGCAGCTTTTCCGTGTTCCCTTTTGATTACAGAAGGGAAGAATTTTAGCTCTGTCCARTGAAGCCATTAAAACAATCTGCAGAACTCTGTCATTTTTTTTGGCATTAAGAGAGTTTTGCAATAGTTGACTTGTTTAATTAGTGCTGGCCATCTTGTTCCTAATTATTGCTGCTTTCCCACATTCTCAGCTGAGGCAGAATATACTAAAGTGAAGTGTTTTCTCTTTATGTGTATAATAATAATAGATATAAATATTTATACAATGAGAGAGMAAGGTTATAAACACACTATGAATACAGTTTTGCTGCAGACTGAGTATATTTTTATATTTGACAAACAGGACTTGTTTTTGAAGAATTTGAGAAATCCTGCAAGCAATGTCATCTTCCTGTGCTAGCTTTTTTGGTCTAKAAATGCTGTTATGGGAGTGCTGATCTGTCGTAAGAAAGATCCATCCCTAYAGTATTTAATGGAATTAAAACAATGATCTTTTCCATTCCCTGTTGTTTTTTTCTCCAGTAAACAAGGGCTTGTAGCTATACSTGGTTTGTGTCCTTAAAGTAAAACCAAATTCTCTGATGGAAGCAGGTTTTTCCACTGGTTGTATTTTCAACCCTTGAAGCGTTCGATTTCTGACAGTGGAATATGATACTTAAAGCCACCGACATTAATTATTACCCATTGGAGGTCGCACTTTCAACCCATGGGACRTTAATTTTCTTGATATATGGAAAATTCCAGCCTGTTAGTTTTAATTAAATATTTCAGAAGCACATTTTCTTGTAAATGGACTACAGTTTTTTATTCTTTACCCTTGGTATTTGGCTAATTCTGCATATGATTATCATCTTATTTTGCAAGCCTCCTTCAAAGCACTTTCCTGTTTCAAAAATCCAATCAGCTGTTATCTGTCATTAAAAAAAAACAACAACAACAAAGACAAAAACAAAAAAGGTATCTTTGTCAATCATCAGCCAATGTTGCCAAGAAGGAGATGGGGAAAAACATCTTTCAGGTTTTCTTGGGAAGTGAAATTATGATGATTTACCAGTCCCTTTTTGTGCCAGCAAACTGGCATCTCTTAAGCGTGTGTAATTCCAGTGTGAGACCAAGCAGGTGCCAGCAGAGCTAGGGGTGGCAGGGAGGATGGTCATCACATTGTGTTGCACAGAGGAGGTGACAAGTGAGGGACGAGAGAGAGCTTCCCACTGTGCCCCTGGGAACCCAGGAGGACATGGTGGGGCTGGAAGGGGCTGGTTGCCCCACAGATCCTGGCATAGCCCAGTCTCCTCCCCTTATGGGTGTAGCAAATGCAGATTATGAGCAGGACCATGTCACCAGATTTGGATACCCTATTATGTCAAGTTTTTCCCCTTGGAGGCCATATGAAGGAAGTTGAAATCTACATTTTCCCCTCTGAAAAGGAAAAAGGTTTTAATTTTGTTTACAGAAGTCTCTCTGCTGGGGGTCTATCCTTTCAATGCTGTTTTAATATGTGAAAGYGCAGTTGTATATTGCAAAGTGATCCTGGGAGACGCGTCAGGAGGGAATCAAGACTTTGCAATTCCTGATCTTTTGCTCCTGCTGCTGCTGCTGTTGCAGAGCTGCAGAGCACTAAGGCAGCACTTTCCCAAGCCTGTCAGGTCCCAGGTAGCACTCGCAGTGGCTGAGCACTCTCCTCAGCATTATGGTTTTGTCAGAAGGCTCCATCCTCTGATACTATCTCACTCTTCTCTAAACAATTAATAAAATGGAGACAAAAAGCCTAGAGGTTTAAAATATGTAATTATATAAGTAATTTAGAACTAGGAAAATGCTGCAGAAACCAATTACAATTATACATTTCAGTAATRACTGACTTGGCCAAATACCCGTTTTGTGTGTGAATTCCATGATRAATTTGAAGATGACATGCTTGAGTATAGGGGAAAATTAATTCTAAATGCTGARTACTTCCATATTAGACATAAAATGTGGCTCATCCACCAACAGGAGCCTGTATTATATGGGCTGTTGCAGCTTAAATTTTGAACAGCAGGGCAGGCATTAACAAGTCTTTGAGGAAGAAAGCTTGAGTAGTTYAAGGGATAGCTTTGAAAAAACAAGTGTTCTGTACCTGATCATGATGCAAAATATATTTAATTCCTTAAATGCTACAGATTTTATGCAAYTTGAATTGATTCAGGCATTTGTTACAGAATTGTAAACGGCCAGCTGGGGTTAATGGAATTTTACTTCTTTCCCTGTCTCCTCCCAGCTGGTGAGAAACTATAGATGAGACTTGTATTCTGTTCACAACTTATAAGATAGATATAGTTGTGAACCATAGTTGTTCACAACTTATATCTATACCTGCTCCAGGCACAGACATCATTCCAAACTCAATTTGGGTTGCCTGTGTGTTTTCAAAGGGAGGATATTTGGCTGTTGATGCAACACAGTGTATGRTCACCCAAAACCCTGCCCCTCTGCAGTTCCCTGAGACCCTGCTGCAGGCCCTACTGCCTCTCCCTYTTTGGGAACCACTTTTGTCTTTTGCCTCTTGAACCCCTTCTGGACATCCCATTCTGCTGGCCAAAGGATGGGGCATCCCTCAGCCTGGGGTGCTTCATGCAGCCAGGAGAGCTCATCACCTCTGAGTATCTGGTGGCTTTTTTTTTTTCTTCTGGTGCTGGGGATTGGTTGTTTATTCACTTGTTTTAAAACGAAACAAAAATTGTGTGCCATGACTGTTGTCAAAAAGTACTTCCACATTGCATGTACAGACATATGAACAGGTACACGAAATCAGACCTACCAGTCACTCCTGCTCATTTCATTGGGAAACCACCAGTGACTCAGGAATGTTTTGCAAATGCCCCAGTGCAGAAACAAAACATTTGCTTCATGTTAATATGAGGGTTTTGTTTGGCATTTTCAGCCCCTCCTGTTGCTCCAACTGAAGCTGGTTTGGGACACCCATATCCAGAAATATATGTGCACCCTGTGGTTGATGTTGCAAGACCTGTTGCCAAGYGGAGGCTCTCTAGGGAGCTGTGTGGTTCTGGTGGTCAGTGGGTGGTGTCTAAAAATTGAGACATTTTTCTACACTCTTTGAGTGTTCTGATTGATACCTGCCACAAGCACTTAACTTTGACATTAAAGCATTACCTCACACTGAAATGTTATCAGCTTTGTACCCTTATCTTCATATTACCACAGTGTGCTGCCCCTCACCTCAGCTGTGCCTGCCCTAGTGTTGATTGCAGTAAATGGTACACAAAAAGTGACCTGGGTTTAAAAAACAAGTGAAAACAAAGCAAGGAACAAAACCAAACTATTCCTCAGGTACAGTTTCCAAACTAAATTGCATTCCCTTTGCAGTGCTCTGGAAAGCAGAATGAGTCAGTCCGGGATGTTGGAGCATCTGGAGGGGTTGGGGTGTGCTGAAGGGGACTATCCAAAGATGTGTCCAGAWTAATTGAGGGAGTGTCATGAGACACAGACTGGGGCAATGAGGTGGATGGGACAAGCTGCTGCCCTGGCTTCTTCCCTTCCACCTCATCAGCTGTTCTGCTTGGAAGTTAGAACGGCAATGCTGGAAAATATGTGTCTTACACAGTGGTTTGAAACCAGCCCTTTTCTTATGGAACAAAGCCACAGAKCTGCTGCAGTGAAGTTTGCACAGGAGGGTTTTGTAGCGTTGGGCCATTTGAGCAGCTCTTGGGCTCAGCTTGGTCTGACTCTGCTCCTTGTCTCTCGTTTCCTCTCCAGAATTGGCCGGCTTTTCGATGGCACGGAGCCCATTGTCCTCGACAGTCTCAAGCAGCATTATTTCATCGACAGAGATGGGCAGATGTTCAGATATATCTTGAATTTCTTAAGGACATCAAAACTCCTCATTCCTGATGATTTCAAGGTRAGATTTCAAGGCACTTGGGTGTTTTGCATATACCTTGGTAAAGCAAGTACCTTGGTGTGTAGGGAAAACAGAGCCCTGGATAGGGAAGKGGGACTTGCAGGGTATGGTGTTTGATTTCAGCTACATGGCCAGAATAAGAATGGGGTTGCTAAAGTGGTGTCTTCCTTTCCTAGAGTGGCATTAATATTAAACTTTCCCCTCCTGGCTACAGTACAATGAAGCAACCTTGCCAGGTTTGACCTAGGGAATTAAATATTGTAGGATACTGATGGAAAYAGAAGCGATGTTACAATCTGCAAATGACTGCTCTTGAGCTTTCCTGATTACTTGTCCTCTTATCCGTTTTTATGCTTCCCCTGTGATTGCAGCAGCTCCAGTTTCAACTCCCACACTGAAATTCAGAAAAGGGTGTGTGAATCACAATATTGACAAAATAATCTGCACACATGGTAATATTTGGGCATTAAGTTACAGAATCCTTTCTCCCTCAGACTCTTGAACGCATAGTGGAAATTTAATTTTAGAGTTTTGGAGAAGTCAGGGATGAATAGTTCTATGTTTATTATTTAAACTTTAATAAAGAGTCTGCCTTTTTAATTTTTTTTTTTTTTTAGTTATTAGTAAGAAATTGAATTAGGGTAGTTCACTGTCAGACAAAGCCTAGAGGGCAGTTTCAGAGTCCATGTGAGGTGTATATGTGGAGTCTGCATTCAGAACGGATCTTTACTCGATGGTCACACATCAGTGCACCTGGTTCCTACAGGAAATGCAGAAACTGGGATTGAGCAGGAGAGGTGCTGGGGTAGGGATGGAGCAGTTCATACTGTATGCAGTCCTTTACCCCTCATATCTGAGACAGTTTTTCAGATGTTAGGGGCATAATAGGAGTGATGTTGAGTTCAAGAGCYGTATTGCAGCAGCCTTTGAATCATCTGCTGTAGAAACATCCTTGCTGCTCCCATGCATGACAAGGGTAGATCTCCCTGAATAATGTGGGAGTTTGGAGCTGACAGATAAGCATCATTTCCTTCTTTTGAAGCCGTAGCATGGCTTTGTGCTGCTCTGGGCACTTGTCCTGCAGGTAATCAGAAATACAGAAAAAGGAAAAACCACCTTTCACGCAATATTAAGAAATTACATATGTAGAGCCTTTTAAACACATAAATATACTGTAGCTGTGCTGAAATTAAAAATGTAACTTCTGGCAAGTTCACCCAACTGTGATGTTCAAAGGGGTGTCCTCTCCAGTTATGCTTTAAGGTGTACAAAAAAACAGTGATTAAAATGAACAGTGTTTCTTGTTTCTTAGAAATACATAGATTACATTACTTTTTTGTTACACATTAAATGTAAGCAGTATTTTTACCATGATTTRGGTGTCCTCATCAAGTATTTGGTTTCTAGTTCAAATTCAGGACTATATTGACTTTCTCTCTCTTCCCTGATTCTCATGTATCTCTTTTCTCTGTATAAATATTTTCCAAATGGTTTTATGCTCTTACACCTAGAAAAACAAGATTTTTTTAAAAAATGTTTTTTAAATTTAAAAAATGGCAGTAAGCAAACTCCACATCATCAGTTCTAAATTACTTCTGCACTGGCAATGCCTGGAAATGCGTTCCCTCTGCTCTGGTATTTGAGATGATGTAGTAAACAATACTAGTGGCAAAACAGGGAAATATTAAAAAATACTTAATTTTTAAAATGCACTAATATGTGCAAACATTATGCAAATATCTGAATCATTTTACACTAACAACCATTGCCAGCTCCCTCATTTACATTCTTATACCTGTTACAATGCCTGCTAGTATTGCTGTAAGACGCAATGGATCCTGGTGATGAATTTTCTGAATCCTGATTGAATTCTGTTCCATCTGTTCAATGAGACCATTATTATATGACATCACTATGGGGATAAAATATGGGTAAAAGTGRGATTTTTTTTTTGCAGAAGGGAGTTGAGCAATCATAGCCTTTCCCTGCCCTTACAAGTGCTGCTGCACTCAGTTTGTTTCAAGTGGCTGATGGTTATTTTTTGTTCGTGCTGTTATTTTATTACTCCTTCCTACACAGTAATTAGGGTTCCAGACCTAGAGCAGCGTTGGCCTGAATAACCATAAGCACCACGTTAGCAGTGCCTCCCTTAACTGTGCACAATAATGTGTGTGTCTTTCAGGACTACAGCTTGTTATATGAAGAAGCAAAATATTTCCAGCTTCAGCCCATGCTAGGAGAGATGGAACGGTGGAAACAGGACCGGGAGAGTGGCCGCTTCTCCAAGTCTTGCGAGTGCCTGGTGGTGCGCGTGGCCCCAGAYCTGGGCGAGAGGATTACGCTGAGTGGCGATAAGTCGTTGATAGAGGAGGTGTTCCCAGAAATCGGTGATGTGATGTGTAATTCTGTCAACGCCGGCTGGAACCACGACTCYACACACGTCATCCGATTTCCGCTGAATGGATACTGTCACCTCAACTCAGTTCAGGTAGGAAGTGAGTGACACATGTGTTTTTTGAAAGGGACCAGTGGGCTGACCCTGTGCCATGTCACTGGAGTGTTTTGGTGAGCAAAATCAGCTAGAGACTTGAAGCAAGTTATTTACTTCTATGGGTCATCTTTCTCCATTTAATTCACGTGTCACCAAATCCCTTTGCAAGCAAGCTGCAGTTGTGTTAGAGTTTTCTGCAGTCTCAGGGAAGACCCTTCACTTTTCGGGCTTGTTCCCAATTTTTTATGGCATAGTAGAGAAAAAGGGTAATGATTTTAAATTAAAATAGAGTAGATTTGTACTAGATAAAAGGAAGAAAATTTTTCAATGAGGGTGTTGAAACACTGGAACAGGTTGCCCAGACACGTGGCAGATGCCCCATCCGTGGAAATATTCAAGGGTAAGGCAGGACAGGGCTCTGAGYAGCCTGATTTAGGTAAAGATGTCCCTGCTCTTCGCAGAGGGGTTGAACTAGATGATCATTAAAGGTCCCTTTCAACCCAAAGTATTCTATGATTCAATGTAGCAATGTCTAAAAGCAGTAGCTGTTATGAAGTGGATATGAAAAAATCTGAAAATCTGGGAGACAAATGCAATTTGCCAGGCCCCACTGTCCAGGTAGAGAATCACAGAGTCATTAAGGTTGGAAAAGGTCTCCACAATCACCAAGTTCAACCTTTGAGTGAACACCWCCACATCAACTAAACCACAGCACTAAGTGCCACATCCAGTCATTTCTTGAACACTTCCAGGAATGGTGACTCCACCGTTTCCCTGGGTAGTCCATTCCAATGCTCAACCACCCTCATAGTGAAGAAATTATATTTAAAGTCCAACCTGAACATCCCCTGCTGCAAGTTGAGGCCATTTCCTCTTATCCTGTCTCTGGTTTCCTGGTAGAAGAGGCTGAAACCCACCTTGCCATAACCCCCTTTCAGTTAGTTGTAGAAGGTCACCCCTGAGCCTGTTTTTCTCCAGATGAAGCACRCTGAGCACTGGGACATGGACTGAGGGCTGGCCAGGCACTGCATTTGTGCTAGAACTTAACAAAAGGGTCTAGAAAGACCTATCTAGACCGATCCAGATAACCCATGTTATGCTTCGACAGTTCTCTCTTACTGGCCTTAACTTCTCACTGAAACATCAAAATTGTTTTTTTCATAGTGATTAATGCAAATTTAGGACAGCCTTAGATATCAGATTACAACTGAAAGGGAGTTTCAAGGATGGTTATTTAGCCACATCCCATAATAGTTCTCATGGCAGTTGTATCCTTCAGCACTTTGTCACTTATTYTGATGCTTACATTTTTGTAGCACAAAAAAAAGAATTACAAAGCATATTTACTGATGTGAAAAACTTGAGTGAGAATGGCAAAATATGTACAGGCTTCAAGAGAGGTAATGATCCCACATTGGTAACGGGAGGACATAGGCATGTSCTAAAAATGGGAGACAGGACAAGGWCCACCAATAGACCTGAAGAGTGAGATGTAGACCAAATGGTTTGTCCAGRGCTGAGCTAGTTTTCAGAGTTGCTTGCACCACATTTATTCTTAGGACCCAAGTTCTCCTGTTTTTCTGGTCAATTTTTTGTGGCCAGAAGAAGACTGGATTTGTTTGCAGTACTAAAAAAAGGAAAAAAAATTTTCTTCATCTTTTTCTTTTTTACTGTTCAATGGCCATAGTCAGCAGAAATCAGTCCAGTACAATTAAGCTATGTAACTTCTTTTTTTCCCCTAGCTGAATGCCTTTGAAAACAGCAGTTATCATCATTGGACAACAAATATTCTGTTTATTTACTTACACATTGTTGTTTGTTTCCTCTTTTTTGCAGGTACTTGAGAGGTTACAGCAAAGAGGTTTTGAGATTGTTGGCTCATGTGGAGGTGGGGTGGACTCTTCCCAATTCAGTGAATACGTACTGAGACGAGAACTCAGAAGGACATCTCGTGCACCCTCTGTCATTCGAATAAAGCAAGAGCCTCTGGACTAAAATGGACATGTTTCTTTATGCAAAAAAAAAAAAAAAAAAAAAAAAAAAGGAAAACTAAGAGAAAAAAAAAAGGGGACATTTCATGTGCAGTTTGGACTCCAAACAAGTCCTGGAACTAAAATTGAATAAAAGACACATTTATATCAAATATAGAGACCACACCTGAATTCATATGGGAACACTTGGATTAGTAGTGATAATAATAATAACCTCAAGGTATAAAAGAAAACACACACACACACACACACACACAAAATATGTATGTATATGTATGTCTGTACATATATATATGTATGTATATGTCAAAGGGTAGGAAATGCAATGACAAAATGTGGTAGATGAGGTTGGTGCTGTGATGGCCATTAAGTGTCCTAGGCCCTACCCGGGCCCACTTAACGGTGTACAAGCCATTGCCAGGGGGGGATTCATAGACTGCTCTTCACCCATTTTCCATTGCCAAACAGCCATCCACTTTTTAATGTGTACACACCTTGACTCAACTTTATTTGCATATGGAGGTTTATGTCTGTCTTTTTTAGAGGTGGATGGGGCTGTTCAGGAGATGACCATCCATTGCATTGGAAAGCTGAAATTTTAAATGTAGTTTGTACAGAAGTCGCACACTTTTTGTCTGCCCTCACAGATGTGAAAGGTTAACTTTTCTTTTGAATGAGTTTTTTTGTTGTTTTGTTTTGTGTTTTTCAAAGGGGGCCAGAATAATTAATATTTGGTAGAGATGCTCTGGTTTGAATCTGCTGCTTTCCTACAATTTTTTCAAATTTTATAATGTATTAAATACAATAAACTCCTGTTTAAAATAACAAGGGTCTGGTTTAAGCCAACAGAAGCAGAGAGGTGGGATTGCACTGCAGTCCAGCATGTGGAGGGAYAAGGCAGTGCAAAGGCAGTGCTGCCTGCATAGGGTGGAGTGAGTTAAAGGCAGCAGAGGCTGTTGAGGGATCTTCTGGTGTGGTGCACCTGGCTGCTATTCCTTCAGCACTGACCCTTTTGAGTTTTGTCCCAGATGGAAGAGAAGCTGTTGGTCAGACGTGAAAACAACACCAGCTCAGCCCAGGGAARCCCATCAAAAAACGACACCTGGTTCTTTAACTTTCACTGTAAGAGTGAATCCTTGCATCATTCCCTCTTGATTAAGGAGTTGGCAGCTCCAAGCCCTTGCCTTGCTGGGTGCTAGCCTGTTTGGTTTTCGTGTTGCTCATTTCCCTCGTTTCAAGCCCCTGTTCTGCCTGGAGAGTGACGTGGGCCATTGGCTGTGTGTCCCTTGGTGGTGGCAGAAAATCCACGTCYTTGCAGAGTCTCACAGGGCCACCCCTGCAGGCAGTGGCTCCAGGTCTCTGAGATTTTGCAGAGCCCCCACATCCCGATGCCTCTGTACGGACAGCTCACGGGCTGATCCACCAGCAAACACCACCTTTCCTCCAAAGCCTCTTTTYGTGCACTCTTACAGAATACAACTGTGTGTTCATCCTCCTATGGGAAATTTCTATCAACGCAATGGTGCTGGCGTCCCATTCATTTTGGTGACACTTTGCTATTTATTTAAGATAAGAAAAAAAGAAGCTGTTAGATACGTGTAACAAGGTTTTTAATATAGTCTGATAACTTAAAAAAAAACAAGTTACATTTTTTCTGGGTTTTGTTAAAAGATGTCAGATGACATCTTTATATAACTGGCAGCACATATCAATGGTTTGGAATTACTGAAATGTGAAAATGGGTGAGGGAGTGGGCTCTAAAAATTAAGGTTCATTAGCGGATTATTAGATCTTCAATGTGATTCTGATCTGTCTATTCACAGTACTGAAACAGCTGCCTCATTGAAAATGCTTGTTTTCAATTAGCAGCAAGAAGCCCTCTTACAAAATAAACAAATGCTTGCTCTACTGGCCACAATTTGGTTGTTAGTCTGCATAGAAGATGGAAAGCTAAAGCCCAGGGAAATAAATACTTTTAACAGATCTTCATCGGAAGTGATGAAATTTGTGATGTCCAAACAAAATCTGTTTGTTGTCTCAAACCCATGGGTTTGAGTTTKTGGGTGTCAGTTCAAGGTGATGTGATTCTTCAGAGGCTGCTGCACAAATCTTCCGTGTGCATCCGTGCAGAGCCGCTCTCTGGGGACTCCTCAGTGTCCCCAGGGATGTGTTTGCACTCTCTGTTCAGCCCAAAGGTATTCCCACATCCAGACCAGCCCTGCTGGCCCCTGTCTGTGCATGAGGGTGTATGCTCCAGTGCAGGCTGGAGCTGGGGGTGTGCAGCTCTTTTCCAGCTGCTTGGCAAGCGGGCACCCCAAGCCAGGAGCATCAGCAGCCCCAAAAGTGTCCCCCCAGTGCTGGCAGGGCCCACACTGCCCGCAGCCTCTGCCCAGGCTGGGTGTGGAGGGAGAGGAGCTTTGCCACTGATGCTTTCCAACATGTGGCTCCCAAAGGCAGCAGGTTTATGCTCTGCCAGTGGTTTCCCTTGTTCAGCATACACCTGTCCAAATCCATGACATTGAAGATACCTCTGTGCTCCTCCCAAATCCTCAACTGGCTTGGTCACCTTCCCACCAAGCCTGSTTTTGTTGCTGATGGAGTCAAAAATCACCCTGAGACCCTGAATSTAAATGTCTCTGCAGTTACAATGTGGTCACAGAGTAAGAGGTCATGCATATTCAAAGTGATGGCTGATGAAATATGTATGCAAGAATAAGCTAGCTGTAGATTTTTAGAGAGCAAATGAGATTAGTCTGGTTTGCAATGGAGGCTTGTAACCGTATGTTTTTAAAACGTTCTTTAGAAAAACTGATCAACAAACAAATGAGCAATTTCTCCAGGAAAGTGGGGGGAGTGGGGGTAACAAGAAGGACCAGTTTACAGTCAGCTTGTCTCTGAAGATTAGTGATTTTGACATTTAAATTTATCTAATATTTTATTRGAAAATGTTGACTCCATTTGATGCRATCATTGGTGYTGTATTTAATAACAAGAGGCAGAGCTGCAGTGAGCAGTAGCTGCCAATGCCATTCTTCAGCAGGGTRGTGAAGCAGCTGCCAGGAGAACTCCTGCAGATGTGCAGGGGTTGCAGATGGCACCGACTCTCCACAGTGAGACACARGCAGAGGAACCTGGTCCTCATCTTTTCTTTGGGTGATAAAAATGCTGGACTTCTGCAATAACCATCGGTCGATGGAACTAAAACCCAGGCTTTAGTTCTTCCCCGACTGCCTCCGTAGTGCACCAAACAGCTGCATAATGTGAGTATGGATCCTGACATGCTTGGATGAACCTTAAAATGGAGTGTCCATTGACAACTGAGCTAATTTACTCTGTGCTGGAGAAAGTGGAGTTCTGCTTTGTCACTGGYTAATCTCTCTTTCCAGAAGCAGTACTGCTAAATAGGTGCTGCTAATTTATTCTGTCTCCAGGTACTTMCTGGCCAGGCAGTCTGGCCCAATGAATGTTTTTTCTCTCTATTGCCACATGTCCATAGAAGGAAGCTGATCGTCTCAGTGCTTGACTGGCAAAAGYGAGTCGAGTTGAGGCACGTTTTATGATGCCCACTAGAATCCATAACAAAAAACCAATGGGAAAAACTTACTAAGCTCTGAAAACATGAAAGTTGAGTCACCCATTCAATTATTTTCCTTTRTGCTGAACAGGCACTAATTTCAATTTGAATAGAAACATTTTGTTCATGAGCATAATTTTTTGCAGCAACCTTTAAAAATTGATTTCTGTACTAATTATAGGGTTTTTACTGCCACCCAAATGACTTGCCGAGTGAATTTTTCTTTAGTGTTTCCACTGCATGGCTTTGGGGAGAAGGGTTGGATTTTGGGGGATGTGAAAAGCATTTTTTATTGACCGATGGTCAGTTTTTCAGAGAAATAAAAACATTTATTTCCATCTGTCATTTTTTCACTGCGGAATTCTATATTATGAATTATTTCTACAGACAACTGGTATTTGTATGTTGGCATTCAAGCTGCCTGAGGTTTATTTACAGTGGAAATGAAACCAAGACATCCTTAGGGCCTGTAGACCAGTTTCTTTTTCTCAGACTTGAGTTTGAGTGGTTTATTATGTCTTGAGGGTCTGGAGGAATCACCACCACCAAAAATCAATATGTTGCATCAGGTCCCTGTGATGACTTTGGCTGCTATTCCATTGATCTGATTTTTGGAGACCCCAAAAACTGACTTAGCATATGGGATTCTCTCTTTGAAACTGAAACTGTTAAAATCATATCCCTAATTCCTCTTAAAARGTGCAAGCACGTAGCACACAAGTTCATCCTCTTGCAAGCTGAGCTAACTCAGCTAGCTGGCAACCAGGATGTTGACATTGATGCTGGGGGGAAACCCTAGTGCTAGCCTGCTGCAGCATCTTCTATTTGCACAAGRAAGAGCTGCAAAAATGGAGATGTTCTTTGATAGATGGGGAAAAGCCCACTTCTCCTTGAATCTGTGATTTTTTTTCCACATTTTTTGATTAGGGACCTAATACGAGTTCTGTGCCCCTAAAATTATGAGGAGTGTAATATTTTTCAGGGGATGTCAGAGATTATGGGTCAGATCCCATATTCTGCCCTCCATACTCACAGTGAAATTTTCTCACACCCCAGTTAGGAGCTGAAGGCGTGCAGTGTAGTCATGGGCTCTCAGTGTCATTGCATCAACAGCAATAGTATGTCACCTCTGTTGCTTCTAAAAATACAGTATTTTCCACTGCAGGTCAGAGGAAGGAGGGTTGATCAGATTCTTCCCTCTCAGCCTGAGTTCTTCTCTCTGGAGAGGCTGTTGTTCATATGAGCAGGCTGGATTTGTGCTTCTCAGGGAGCATGGGGTTCTGGTGCTGTAGCCCAGCTCATTGAGCCCTGTCCTGTGGTCCTCAGAGTACAGATGTGGCTTGATGGTCTGGGGAGAGATGGAGAGAGGGAGATTTGTCTCTGTGCTCTGGAGTTTGGTCTGATAAATGATCTAATCTACAACCCTAAATGGTCTTGTGGCTTCTGTTATGTAGCTTGTCAGTGATGTTATTAATTTTCCTGGG